GGTCTCTCCCGCAGGGGCTGCGTGGGCGCGGGCGAGCCCGTGGGCGGCGCGGGCGTGGAGAGCCGCGTGCAGGTGCTGAAGACGGTGCCGGTGAACCTGAGCCTCAGCCAGGAGCCCGCCGACGGCAAGCGCGAGCCCTTCGCGGCCGAGGGCGCCGCCGTCATCCCCGTGTCCGGCATCGCCGTGGTCAAGGCCGAGGACTTCACGCCCGTCTTCATGGCGCCGCCCGGCCACTACTCGCGCGGGGAGGGCGACGACCAGCGCGTGGTCATCTTCGAGCAGGCGCAGTACGACCTGGCCGCGCACGGCGCCTACCTCAAGGACGACCAGCGCAGCACGCCCGACAGCACCTACAGCGAAGGCTTCAAGGACAGCGCCGCCGAGGTGAGCGCGACGCGGAACCCAGGGCGCCGGCGCCCGCTTCCCGCCGGACCGAGTTCCCGGCGCACAGCCGGGCATTTCCGGTTTCCGCCGCCAGTGGACGGAGTGACTGGCCCTGCCTTGCCTCCGAGTGCGGTAACGTGCGAGGGAGGATATGCCTTGGCTTCTTTTGTCTCCGCTTGCCTTTCCTTTGCTCCGTTCCTCTTTGCTTTTCTTTCCTTTCCTTTTCTCTTTTTTCCTTCACTTCTTTTCCCTTTCCCTTTTCTCTCTTTTGCCCCCCCCCAACTCTTGCGGGTAGCTTCATTTGTTTTAGTTTTAGCGTTAAATATTTGCAAGGAATTAAGAAAGTTGGTGGGGACATTTCCTGCTCTGTAATGTTTTCACTCCCTGTAGCTTGCAATCTTTCATGATGTTGCCTGTCTATTCTTTGATAAACAGTATAGTTCTTTAAAGCCTTGTTGTACTGACTTCAAGAAGCAATTGGTACTCTACAGTTAGGGACCGCATGATTTCTTCGCAGGTACCCTTGGAACTGACGGAAACATTTTTTGCCTGCTTGCTAAGTTCTAAATACTGAGTCTGACAATTCGGATTTGTGTATAGCTGTGTAGCCAACGTCAGTAACACCATGTAGAAAGTCCTCTCACTTTGAAAGTTCCTTTGAACCCCCTTGGAGGCAAAGCCCACCCTTTCTTGGCAAACATTTACCTGCTTTCTGTTACAGTGTTGTTGCCTTTTCTATAACTTCATATAAATAGAAGATAAAGTATTGATGGCACAACTTGGTATTGCCAGTCTGACTTTGCATTCACAGAGATCTAGCATTATAAGCAAAATGTCATACACTCTTTTTGTTTTTTAGGGAAAGGTCTACAGGGTGTTCAGGGTCTCACTACTAGATTGGACTCTGGTGATCTGCCTGTTTACAGTCTCCCAAGTGCTGGGATTACAGGCGTGGGTCACCACTCCCAATCTCAATTGCAGTCTCAGCATGCCTCGGTGGTGGGGCCAGCCCAGCAGGCCTGGGGATCGAACCCGCAGCCCCTGCCCCTGTGCCTGCTTTCAGGTGCTTTAATCCACTGAGCTATTTGGCCAGCCCCCTTCATACACTCATTTGATCACTACTTTTATAAGGTGTTTGTTCAAATCTTTGGCTCAGTTTTTAAATTGGGTTACTTACTTTTCTTTTATTAAGTCCTGAGTGCTAAGTGGTACCAATATAAGCCCTTTATCACTTACATGTTTTACATCCTGTAGCCTTTTTTGTTTCTTGTTATTTATTTATGTATTGTAGTACAATAGATTGAACCGAGGGCCTTCTTGTTACCAGTCACCTAGAGGTGACTTCTAGGTTCTTTCTATCCTGAGCAAAGAATTGGTCGAGACAACTACAGATGGCAGCTATGTTTTATTAGAGATAGGAGAAGAAATGGCCTGCAGAGCAAATTTGGGCCAAGGAAAAGTAGGAAAAGAAGAGTATTTTACAATGTGAGCACAGCCACCATGAAAGAGAGAGAGCATAGTGGCAAAAGCGTAGTCCTTTTTTTATTATCCACGTCTCAGACTGACATCAGGTGTAGGCTATCGCATCAAAAGCCTGTTGAAGCTCTCAGGAGAAGTCTGTGCAAGGCTTTGGGGCCCGCTCTGCGCAGGTGTTGGGATCTTGGGATGCCTCCTTTTGCAGCCATGTTCTAGCCATGCCCTACCTTCCTCACTGAGTTATAGTCCCAGCCCTTTCTAAAAATTTAAAAATTTTGAGACAGGGTCTCTCTGAGTTGCCCAGCCTTGGCTAAAATTTGATATCCTCCTGCCTTGGCTCCCTAGAGTGCTGAAATTGCACACCACTCTTGTTTTCTTAGCTATATTTCGAAGAGTAACACAGCTTAATCTGATGGTGTTCATTTAATCGGTTTTGTCTTTAATAGTATGCTTTTGGATGTTGTTTAAGAAGTCGTTCACTAACCCAGTGTCACAAAGATTTTCTCTCATATTTGGCTTTTATTTTTCTAGACTCCAAAAATTTTATGCCTTACATATTGGTTCTCGTTCATTTTGAGATTGTTACATGTGAGATGAAGTAAGGATTAGTCTCAGCACCATTCATTGAAGAGATAATCTTACATCCATTTAATTGCTTTGAGATCTTCTTAGAATAACCACTGATGTTATAGTTGTGGATTGCATTCTAATTTTGATCTAGAATATGTAACAAATGTTTTTGTCAGTTCAATTCAGCTTCCTTGCTCTTTAGGAGCAGTGTCTCTGCATTTGGGAATGATTGGCTTTCCAATCTTGGCTGATATGAGTCAATAAAAGGCAGTGGTAGAGGCCAGGAGTGTTGCTTAGTGGCAAAGCACCACCTGGCAAGTGCAAGGCCAAGAGTTAGATAAGTGTGGTGGGAGCCAGTTACTGTCAGACAGCTGCCTATTTAGTTGGGGTTGGGACAAAAGCAGCTATGTGAGGTTGAGATTCTATTCCTAACCAGTAACATTTAAAAATAATCTTCATTAAGTGAGTATTTGTTGTGTGCTGGGCATTATCTTAGTCCATTTGTGCCACAGTAACAGAATATCTGAAGCTGGGTCATATCTAGTGAGCAGAAATGTACTTGACCCACTGTTGGGGCTGAGAAGCCAGGATCAAGGCCACATCTGCTAAGGCCCTCTTGCTGCCTGGTCTGTGGAGGATGGGTGAAAGGGCAACAGCACACAGGTGACAGGCACTGATTTTGCTTTTCTAACAAATCCACTCCTGCAGTGAGAACCCACACCCGTGGTGACATCAGTCCATCCATCCACAAAGGCTGCTCTTCTGGCCTACTGCCTTCTGGGATGTCCCACCTCTCCATGCTGTGGCCCTGGGTTTCCAACATGGGAATGTTGGACAGCATGCACAGGCCACCACAGCCTGGATCTATACCCATGTAATCCTTACCAGAGAGCCCTCTGTGGCAGGTACTGTTCTTGTCATCCCTGGTTTCTTAGTTAGGAAACTATAGGAGACAGCATGAGTGTCAGAGGAAACTTGACCCATGCTGTGTGCTCCAGTGCCCACATCTGTGACCATAACTCTACGCTCAGGCAGACTGCAAGACCTTCTAATTCTCAATAGCTCCACTGCCTAGACAGTGACTCATCCGAGTATCTGTTTAAAATCTGAGTGTCCTTCACCCATCTCAGTAGCCCTGCTTGTGCTAGGCAGGACTGGTAGGACCTGGTACCCCTACAGTACCAGCTGTGTGTTCTGACCTTGGGAAAGCACCAGAATCAGGCAAGAGCAATTCCCCGCCCAGAGGAGGCTAACATATTTCTTAAGGCTCAGGGGCTTGACAAATGAATTTGTAATATTCCTCCTAGATAAAAAGTCTTATAATTAGCTACTTATGTTATGGTGCTTAAAATAATTAAGAAACTTTTTCTAAATAAAGTCAAGTTATTTTGTAGAGTTGTGTGTGTGTGTGTGTGTGTGTGTGTGTGTGTGTATTTGGTACAGGGTCTCACTATGCAGCTCAGACTCATAGTGATCCTTCTGATTTCAGCCTCTCCAGTGCTGGGATTGCAGGCCTGTGCTACCAGACCTGGACTCAGTTAATGGCTCAGCTTGCCCTGGGGGTGGGGCCAGTGCGGCATGTGGGAAATCTTGTAGAATTTTTGATGTTGTTGAATATTTCCATTTTCCCCTAGGTAGTGAGGGGTGCTTCTGTAGAAAAAGCGGAAAACTAAAGCTATCATTTCACCATGTCCTAGCAGCAAAATGCTTTGCCACCAAGGCTTGCCATTGGTGTGTTTTCTCACATGTTGTAGCATTAATTGATGAATCACAGAAGAGTATATGGGTGGGGCCCATTGTCAGTGTGTTTTTAGGTATGTGGGTGTTGTAGATAAAGAAACTTGGCAAAGAAAGCTGTTGTATTTGGGGCTTTATTTTGACGTTCATGAGAAAGATAATTGACAGATAGTAAGGGCTAAGGATATTCTCACTGATTTTGGTTAAGCTGTTCTTTTAATCTTGATAATCATTATTTGTATCACAGATTTTATTTCAGCCTGATGGAAATTCAATTGGATGATCTATAATGATCTTTAGGCATTTTTTTGCCGGTTGGTTATATGAGTGAATTGGGGATATTTGCACTAAGAAAATTTCATCAGGAAAATTTGTCTAAAGTCTAGTACTTCTTTTAGGACAAATATGACACAGAACGTCTGGAAGCCTCTTTGTGCTAGCACATTTCATTCTCCATTGGTGACCTGTTGGTCTTTGCATTTATGTGATGGTAAGAAGGAAGACGATAGTTTGGATTAGACCCTGTCAAGGTACAGAGGCATTCAGAAACCAGCCTGGGTATGTAGCTCAGTACAGAGGTCTTGGGTTCAACCCTCCCCCAGTGTCGCTCTCAGGGATTCTTGTTGAGGAGTGGAGCTAGGGTATCACTCAGGCGGGGGCAGAAGGGATGTTTCTCACACAGCTGTGTCACTGTCCTCTGCCATGTGCCCCCAGGAGCCTTGTCCTTCCCCAGTGGTGTCCATCTCCTTGGGCTCTGTTTTCTTCTTCAGAGTGCACACAACTTGTAAATTTGTGAGTGAAGATTGCTTCACTTCTCCACTACACCAAAAGATCCCTGAGAGCAAGGACCTTTTCTCTTTCTGTTTACGTGGTACCCATCACAGTTAGCAGAGTGCTTGGAGTATGGCAGACAATCAGTATCTACTAATTGAAAGAGTGAAGGCATGAGGAATAGGACCTAAAAAATTGATGACTCACTAAAGCCATGGAATTCTTTAGCTTTGTCTGACTTTTCCCACAGTTAAATAACCATTGTCTTTTGTGCAGTATTTTTCTCCCACATCAAAAGTAAAGCTAGGATTCTGACATTCACAATTTAAATGCACTCATCACTGACCGTTGCCTAAGGATAATCTACCAAATGTACATTATCATGTCTTTACCGTCAATTTCTGAGTCCAAATGAGCAGGGCACTGACGGGTGCACTGTGAAGTAAGGTGCAGCAGTGCTGGCTGCCTAAATGCCTTTCATCCCGTAAGGAATATACAATGTTTCCAAGGGCTGTTGGAGACTACAGCCAGGTGGAACAAGGAATTTGTCACCAATTCTTAGTATTAATTCATTTATATTCCAGTAATCCAGGTAGACGATCTACTTAATTTAAAAAAGTAATAGACTAAAATAAAAAGTTTTACCTTAAAAAAATAAATATTCATGCTTGTGCCTTATCCACTGTTTTTACTTTTTCTTAAAATTTGTGCCAAGAGAAGTTCATGTGTTGGTGTAGAGTTCTGTATCGTAGTCCGCGTACAGTTGACAGTTTTTATGAGTTTGAGCACTCATGACATCATGCCTAAATACATCACCTGGAAGGATTGGAACCATATAATTTGTAGACCAACTTGTATGGTGGGCACCCTTCCCTGGCTGCAGAGTTCTGAGGCAAGGGCATAGACTCGGGCAGGCCATGGTTACTGACGCTGATTCACGCAGTGGTGATGGATCACTGAACTTGGAAATGAGTCCTTTCAGTCTCAACGTCACTTCCTTAAGAGCTTTTTAAAACACTGTGCTATCCTCCTACTCCACAATGCCATGGTCTCTAACTATAACTCATCTCTGTTGAATAGAACTTTTGGAAACAAAGGAAATTTTCTTTTGTGCTATCTAGTATGGTAGCCATTAGCCACACATGGCAGTTTAGTATTAAAACATGGCCAGTTGGCTGATGAATTGAATATTTAATTTTATTCTATTCTAATAGCACATAAGGTTAGTGGCTACTATTGAGCAACAGAGACCTAGACCCTGTGGACCTACCACATTTATACCCACTGTTTTGTCTTGGCTCATGGTGGTCCTCTTTCATCTGGATTACTTCCTTTCAGTTTTTTCAGTCAACACATGTTCTTCTTTGGAGTCAGAAAGAAGCTCAGACTGAATTCTCCCTGCAGTTTCACTTCTCTCCCTTCCCTCGCAATACCTTTTCTCTTGTTTTTCTTGTAAAGACGTGAGTCATGAATAAGTGAGTGATTCATCATAGGCTTTAACACACAGTTCTTTGCCATAGTTTAGCTTACTTTGTTGTTACTTTTCGTGTGAATTTTCTCTGTCCCTTTGCCAACTTTTATCTCTCCGAGGCTTGTGCCATTTGTATAATTTCTGTATTTCTTCTGGTACAAAGAAAATGGAAAAGCCCCAGAAAATGGCCAATGATGCTTTGCTAATTGGCTTTTGTTACAAATGAAATATCGATCATGTCTGTCATGATTGTTCACCTAGTCAAAGAAACATTTATGCAAAGGGATTTGTGTCATAGGATTTACTTGCTAAACTTAAAAGGAAAATCTTCCTAATTCCAAAGAATGACTAGATAAGGAGAATCATAAATGTGTGTGTAGAAACCATGATTAAAGTGTGTGGTGCGTAGGAATTAAATTGGGAAGAAAATTTGGGAAACCATTCCTGACGAAGGAAGCTCTTGAATTGTGAACATAGAATGGAAGTTAGTATACAGACATGAGAGGCAGGAAGGTGATTTCTTAGAGTGAGAAAGGACCTGTGTGCGTGGGCCGTCAGCCAAGTACCCTTTCATAGTGCTCTGCTCCATCACCCAGCGTGCCTGGGGGCGGTGCTGAGGTCCCTGTGCTTGCCTAAGCAGAAGCTTAGTCTGCTAAACTATCTCATCTGCCCAAGACCTACTCTTAAAGTACTATAATATGGTCATTTGCTTTTATTTATTAGTACTTAGTAAGCAGATATTGTGTTTATGTATATCAGTCATTGTTCTTAGTACTTTATTAATCTGTGTATTCCTTCTGATCCCTGTCAGTGGCCATGTAACATGGAGCAAATGTCACATTTGTTTCTTGTCACGCAGCTGTCGGAGTAGTACTGGTGCTTTACCCTAGGTCAGTGATGGCGAGCCTTTCAGAGCTTTCAATGATAATAAATCGCTCCCTTGGGCAGTCTTGCTTCACTAGCTGTGCTTCTGGCCGCTCTTCCATCGTGCTTGTGCCGTGCAGTCTCTGTGTGATTAATGTGAATTTGTTACATTTGGAGCAAATGTTGGAGAGGACAGAGATTTGAGGGATGATCGTATGTTTGAAGAAACACTTTCTAGTACCTGCGGACTCTCCGAGAAGGCCTGTGAATGTGTGAATATTGCACAAAGCCTGGACACGCTTTTTGTTAAGTGTGGCTCTGAGGATGGATCGATGTGTGAGAATATCATGCTAAAAAGATACAGTTTTCCTTATTAAGGAAAGGGGAAACAAGAAACTTGGGGGGGGGTGGACCCACCTATTTGTTTTAAATTGTTGACTTGAATCTTGCAGAAATTTCGGAGTGCTTCCGTTGGGGCCGAGGAGTACATGTACGACCAGACATCAAGGTGGGTTCTGGGAGGCTCCTTTTCACTGAGAACTCTAATTAAAAGATAGATTTTAAACATCTTTTCTTTTCTTTTTCTTTTTTGGCGGAGCCAGGACTTGAACTCTGGCCCTTGTGCTTGCCAGGGAAGTGCTTATTCCACTGAGCCATCTCCCTGGCCTTATTTATTTTCTTTTTCTTTGTGTACTTTAAAAAAGAAATCTGATTTCTTTTGCCTTCAATTCTTTTCTCTGTGCAAATCAACTTCTGCATCCTGTCTCCAGACTTGGCCCAGTCACCTTCTAAGATGTGGGCACAGAGATGTAGTGTTTGTACCCAGTGGAACACTATTCGCCATAGAGAAGGGCCCACTGGAGTCATCTGTAGGAAATTGGACACAACGTGAGACCATGCTGTTGTGTGGAATAAATTGGTCATGTAGGCTTGGAAATTGCATGGTTTTTCCTATTTGAGAAACTCAGTATATAAATAGAGCAAAATAAAAGTTGAGTGATAGGAATAAGGGAGGAAAGAATTTTCCTCAGAGGGAAAGAGGATGGAGAAATAGAAAGGGTAGCAACAGGGGAGAGGAAGGGAATGAAAGAGGACTGAAGGTGCACCACATACCTAGTCCTCACAGCATTATAAGCATGTACTGCAAATGTGGACTGAAAAGAAATGAAAAAAGGAGAAATTTCTATTACAAAAAATAAAACAAAATAAAACAGCAAAAAGGAGTGGGAATACATGAGAGCTCAGTGTCGCAATTCCCGGCAGTTGAAGGCCTGGCTTCTCCAAGGTCTCAGGAGACCATGAGCTGACGCAGCTCTTGCTGAGCGGACCAGAGGAAGGCAACACATCCCACATCCGGAGCCTGTGGGACGGGCAGGCTTAGGGGACACAGCAACTCCACGCACACATCCTTCATGTCCACACATACTTATTCCTGAGAAAAGTTTTCCCATCTGGCCTCTCATTTAGTCTTTGATACAGATAATGTGCAAGCTACTGGCCCAGGTGATCTTAATATCCTGTCCCGATGTAAAGCTTTATCATTTAGCAGTGCTACATCAAAATTGCTCTCTTGGGAGAGACATGACACCAGAGTTGATTCTGTCATGACTTATTTTCTATCTCTGAAATACCTTGGGGGCTGGGGAGATGGCTCAGTAGAATAAGCACTTGCCTGGCAAGCACAAGGGCCTGAGTTCAATCCCCGGTTCCACCAAAAAAAAGAAAAGAAGAAGAAAAATACTTTTTGTGGAATTTTCTTGGTTTCTCAGCTTAAACCTCAGATTTTTTATCACGTAGGAGGAACAGTTTGTCTCTCAAAATAATTTATTGTAGAAATTAATATGTAGGTACAACTTCAGGGGAATATAAGATGTGGAAAGCTGGAGCCCATATCCATGCCCTGTCAGTAGGCTGTTTTAAGAGACCAAGTGTTGTGTAATATTTGCTCCTGGCCTTCCAAAGGTGCCAGACTGGAAGTGCTGAAGATCTAAACTTGGTGGCAGGTCTGTCGGGTCCGAAAGGACAGTGCCTGTTACAGGATCTCCCCTGGGCCTACACTGCAGCAGAAATAAGGGTTTTTTTCGTTCTTTAAAACATTTTCTTATGAATACATCCTGGTTTTATAGACTAATGAGCTTCATTTGGCAGATTTGTGGGTTCATATGACATACTTTGATCCTTTGCATCCCTCCTCATCCCCTTCCCTCCCAGTTTCACTTTTTCTTTTTTGTTTTCAATGTGCATAATATATTTTGACCATATCTATAGAAATAAGGTTTTCTGAACAAACATATTAAACAGAAAAAGACTGTGGTTCATGCCTATTGTGCTCATTTTAAAGTTAATATTCAAGGTTGGGAATATTTTGTGTTTCTGTGTCATGATTCATATCATATTTTAAAATACTAGGGAAACTATTTTGAGTAAGAATTTATAAATATTTCCTGTACTGAGCTGAATACTGAGCATTTTAGCTGTAGCAGCCTGCAGTCTCTATGACAACACCCAACTCTACTGTTAGAGCATAGAAGCAGTCCCATCCTATGCACACAGAGGACTGCAGCTGTGTGCCAATAAAACTTTACTTATAAAAACAGTCAGTGACCTGGCTTTGCTCCCCACCACCATCATTTGCAACCCCCTCATTTATAGCAGCGAGTGGTGAGTTCTGTGTGTATAAAAAAACCCACAGACACAAAAGACAAAAACAAATGGACAAACAAAGTCAACCATCCCCACTGGGGAGAAAGCTCAGTGGAATAAATGCTTGCCTGGCAAGTGTCAGGTCCTGAGTTCGATCCCTGGTACTGCAAAAAACCAGTCAACCAACCAACCAAACAAAAAAACAAGCTATCCTCATTAGGGAACTAGATTCCCAAAAGTGAATGTAGTTTTGGATTTTCACCTTTTGAAATATTTTCAACTGAGATATGGCTATCTGTAGCATCTTGGTAAAAAGATGTTTCACTATCATGAATAGAAATTAAAGAAAAAGGAAGGTTAAGTATGCTGACCTGGAGAGGAGCATCCCCACATCTGGCAGACTGTCAGTTCGCAAGCCTCGGGGCCACACCTGGGCACCGCTGACACCACCGCACATCTGCACAAACCCACACAACTGGCCAACATATCATGGACCTTCTGCCCTTCCGAACCATCTGGTTTATGGGCCACGATTAGAAATGTATGGATTGTACTGGCCATGGTCTTTGGTCTAGCCTCATCTCTTTGCCATATGCTGTGCTGTGTCTTTAAAATATAGTAATATTGGTTAATATTCATACAAAATGCTATTGATTCGAATAGCTAAGGAAGGCAGAAAAGTCCAAGGAGTGAATCTGACCAATGTTTGTTTTCTGTTCACAGTGGCACATTTCAGTATACCCTGGAAGCCACCAAATCCCTCCGCCAGAAGCAGGGGGAGGGCCCCATGACCTACCTCAACAAAGGACAATTCTATGCCATCACGCTCAGCGAGACCGGAGACAACAAGTGCTTCCGACACCCCATCAGCAAAGTCAGGGTATGGCTGTGTTCTCAGAAGAAAGTAGCACAGGATCAGGTGTGGCGTGGCATGGAAGAAAATTCCAAAATAAATAACTCTAGAACAAATGTAAAGGAGTTGAACAAAACAACAATTGGCTTGTAGTTTATCATCTTAATTGGTAACCAATAAACCCTGGGGCAGAAGCTTGGTTGCGCATGCCTTCTGACTGTATCCAAGGAATTTTCCTTGTTTCATTTACTACTTACTTGCTGCACAGTTGTTGTTTTTAACTGATCTTAATTTTTCACATAAATAGGTATACGTAGGATTCCATTGTGATCCAGAGGGAGCTGGTCCTCTGTGTGAAGGAGAAAGCCATCAGTCTGAGCCTGTCCCTGTGCAGCTTTGTTTAAACGTCATCTGCAGCCCAGGACATACTCTGAGCTCAAGGGATGGGGCACAGTCCCCGCCAGGTGTCACTTGGAGGAATTTTCACCTCCCTGAGCATTATTCCTGTTGGTGGGAAATGAAATCAGAGCCGAGCTCATGGTCTGGAAGCCTGCCAGTTTCTGGCCTGCTCGCCACTGCCAAGAAGGGCGGGGACTAGTAATCCCTCTCTGGTGAGAAGGAGCATTATGGCAGAGCTCTGGGAAGAGGTTGAAGGATTTTCCCTGTCCATTGTAAGATGGCCCTTTCTGGCCTGCTATAAAATGCTTCCCACTGCTATTACCACAGCACCCAGCCCCCTTGTTTTCTCCATGCTGCTTCGCTCTGAGCCCTCTGCAGCCCACTGCGGAGCATAGCAAGGCTTGAGGTTGCCCAGCGCAGGTGGAGGCAGGGTCCTGCTTCAGCCCGAGCCACTGTGGGATGAGAGGGGTCAGGTGACTGAGAGTCAGAGTTAGCGTGTCTCAGCCCTGTGGTCAAACCACAGAAGAGGATGGATGTGACGGCTGCGAGGGATTACAACAAACCATGTTGGTGGGGTCCTGTGCTATGCCAGGCATTGTGTCAGACTGCCCAGCACTGCAGTACTATGATGCTACTGATCAGGAAAGTTGGGCTTTCAGAAGCTAGCAAGTGGCCAAGGTTATAGGAATCTAGGATATATCCCAGACCATCAGACTCTTGAACACAACTCTTTAAATGAAAGTGTAATTTTTATTTGGAGTAGAAATAAACACATGCCACCTGGCATACTTTTCTGTATATGAGTGGGAAGCTTTGAACCTGTTGAAGGAAAGGTCCCGAGCTGGCTGGCTCTGAGTCCCTGCAGCAGAGGTCTGCTCCTCTCTTGGCCACTAACCCATGTCTGCAGAGACCTGCGACTTCTGCATTTGAGTGATATGGACACACTTATCTGTAGTCCCTTTTCTAGCCTAATCTGCATTGGTGTGCAAAAACTGCTGATGCATCTGTGAGCAAGGAGCCAGGTTTTGAATCAGAAGCCAGCCGCCAGCATAAATTTGCTGTTACTCCTTACGCTCTGGGGCCACCTTGCTAAGCAGTGGACCGTAATTCTTGTTGTGCTCAGAGTCAACATTGCCAGTGGCATCATAACTAAATGAGCAATTGACTGCAAATGTGTAATTGCTCCAGAGGGAAAGGTCTTCAGAACTGAGGGTGGGTGAGGGCTCTTCTGGGAATGCCAGAGGAGTGTTCCTGATGCTGTAAGTAAAGACGTCTTTGCTTGCTCTCGGCACTGCCTCCACTGCATAAATGACAGTGGGTTTGTGTATATGTAGATTACTAAAGCTGTTGGTAACTTAGAACCAAAGAAGTTGTGGGTTCTTGTTTGTATAAAACAGAATGAGTTTCTCAAGCTATTTTTATATCCACATTATATTTTAATTGATAACATAGTTGCCTTCATACTTTGGTATGAGATTCTGTAGCTTAAATCTTCATTCATGTGAATGCCTCTTTTGCCCTTTCCCTCATTTCTTTAACATTTTCCTCGTTACCTCCCGTGCTCTAGCCTGAGGCTCTTAATTAGCCCATGAGCAGATGTTTGCTCTTTACAAATGGTACTGCATGCTTTGTTTAAGGACACAAAATTTCAAAAGCGTGCTCATTTTTAATACACAAATATTCTGATGTTTTGTTTCATCTGATTGTTTATGTCCTTGTGGTAAAATTGATATAGGATTCTTTTTTCTCTGTGTTGTTCTTGTTTTCCAAATAATTATCTGCCCTCCATTCCCAGTAGTATCCCCACTGCTTTAATACAAAGCCAGCCATACAGCTGGCTTGTCTAGGCTTTCTTTAAGCAAGAAAAGCTGCATTAGAGAACTTAGCTGCAGAAGGACTTTCAGAACCACCTGACCATGTAAGGCCACAGAGGCCCTAAGCAGAGAATAAACATCCCTGTTCTCCCTGTTGCAGAGTGTGGTGATGGTGGTCTTCAGTGAGGACAAAAACCGGGATGAGCAGCTGAAATACTGGAAGTACTGGCACTCTCGGCAGCATACAGCCAAGCAGAGGGTCCTTGATATTGGTGAGTTGGACGTTGTATTGCTTTTCCTGTTGATGTACAAGATACCCAACACCCACAGTTGTAAAGAGTGGAAGTTTAACTTGGCTCATGGTTCAGGAGACTCGGTCTACGGTCAGCTGGAAGGAAGGACAATTACGGCAGGGTATGGCGAAGTAAGGATACTCAGTTCACCCTGACCAGGATGCAGAGAGGAAGGCCGAAGGCCCACATGTGGACCTCATGGGTACGCTTCTGGGACCCACCAGACTCAACCAGAAATACCCTCTACTAAGCCCCTTGGCAGCTCCATGCCAATCAAGTTGACAGTGAAGTTTATCTATGACAATCACAGTAGGGACCTCCCACCTGAGGGGTTACTACACTGGCACACTGCTCTGCATGCACTGCTCCACGGGAGCCCACGTGTGAGCACGGTGAGGGTCTACGCAGCACACAGTCTGTGCCCTTTTTAGGGTCTACGTTTATCACACATAAGGTTAAGAAATCAAAGCAGGGCCAATGTGAGAGAAAGCATTTTCCTTTGACCCAGTCAGTTGTCATAGTTGACACTGTTGTGGTGCATTAGGTTTGCCACAACACTTAGAGTGTCTAAAACATGATTCCACACTTTCCTTGTTGGAGCCAAATAAGTAGTCAGCAGTCAGATGAACTCTTGTCCCCTTTGACAGAAGCAAACTTGAGCTCATGTGACTGAATGTGTTGCAAAGTCACCTACTACAGGGGAGTGGGATAGTAGAAGATGGTTAAACAGAAGACATTTGAGAACCCTTCCTGGCCAGTGGGGAAGGAGTCGCAGTGAAGAAGCCTGTGTGCTCCCAAACGCAGCATCTTTTCTCAGGAGCCTGAAGCCCCGTGGACAGTGTCATCTTCCAGATAGGAAGGCAGAGCCCACGCCAAGTAGTTCAGTGGAGGGAGGCCTTGGCCCAGGCTGGAAAGGCTAGAGGCACAGTGAAGCAATGCCGCTATTACCTTTGGGGCTGGAGAATCAAAGGCAAGAGGGGGTGGGTGTTGGGAGCCACCCAGCGGGAGCTGGGACCACAGAGGCAGCAGTTTCTCTTTGGGAGGCAGGGCCACAGCAGGATGGCTGCCAGACACTTCCAGTGCCAAGGAGGAGGAGGAGGACAAACGCCTCTGCCAGTGCTGCTCAAATTTAACCCAAAGCCAGGGGGCACACAGCTTTGGAGAAATGTATTTGAAAACATCTCCTTCTGAGAAAGAATAAAGTAGGCAGTCTCAGCTGCCAGATACTACTTAAAAGCACAAATAGAGGATGCGACTTTCAGTCATTTTTTAACACCTCAGCTACATACAGCTGACACAAGAAGGCTTTTCTTATATTATAATTTTTATTTGCCCATTTTGCAGACCAAGTGGCTGCAGTCTTGGTGATGTAAGCGGAAGGAGGGTCTCCACATGTTGAGTGTTGCGAGATGTTACTGAGCCATGAAAGGGATGTGTTTATTTTTTATATAATGCGTGAGGGACTTCCCAGAACTTCATTTCACCCTTGACCAGTGGGAGAGCTTGGTAATGACCAGGTGAAGGGTAGAGACTCACCACTGAAACTAATTACTGGCTTTTTACGATGCGCTTCCCTCACTTCCAGCCCTCATCACACGGGAACACACACACACACATACACACACACCCCTATTGACTAGTCAAACATATTGATCTAATAACAAGGATATGAAGCTGAGGGAGTCTCTCCAGCCCACCATCTCAAGTACTTTCCTCAGTCATGAGCCCAAGTCCCAAGATAGGAGCTGTCTTCTCAACTCAGCTTGAACACTGCACCCCAAGATTGAATAGGGACTTAGGGACCATGCTGTAACCTGCTCTGTAACCAGTCTGCATCGAGCAGAGGAACCATTTTATTTTATTTGAAAAGTTAGCCTTATAATTATTACCCAGGAAAATAAGAAGAGCCATTAAACAGAAATATAGGCTGGGTTCAAATAAAGCAAATAATAAAAGCATTTTACTGGCAGACTTGTTGATTCAACCTTGATATTGTTACAGGGCTTAGTTCTGTGGTACCAGGAAGACTTCTCAGCTCTTGGAACCCTTTGTGTTTTGCTTTTCTTCTCTGTCACCTCCTGTCAGACTTTCCTCCCTTGTGTAGAGCACACCTCAGAGTGCACACACAGGCACAGGTGGGAACCCCCACATGCCTTGCCGTTGAGACCTGTGACTTGGAGCATGAACAGCTTCATGGGAAGCTGGCTCATTTGCCTTTATCCTGAGACCATGGCATGAAATCACTGCCCTTAAGCTTGGCTTAACAAACACAAAAATGTCACACAATCCTGTACAGAAGTCATGCTGAGTGTTTCCAGGGTGGAGGAGGGCTGCTGCAGGGAGCAGGTGCATAGGTAGGGTGAGGGTTGTCCTCGGGAAGCTGGGCATAAGGTTGTACCTGCTGTGAGCCCCGAGGGGCTGCACAGGGCGTTGGTGCCTGCAGAGCAGGCAGGGAGGTCAGAGCGTTGGTGCTGCGCAGCTGCCCTTGTGGTTGATGGTCTACTAATGGAATTTTTAAAAGTGGGGAAGGAACCAAAATTACTTGATTCAAGCCCTTTTTAAGACTTTTGTGAGGCTGGAGGTTAAAATTTGGGGCTCAAAATGCCCAATCATCAAATCTTCACCGACATCTGTGAGCGGCCAGTTAGCGGAGCCCTCCCAGCGTAGACCTGGAAGCTGGACAGAGAGGCCCAGCCGAGGCCCTTTCCCTAGCTTTGTTCAGTATAGTGCTTGGGGTCTGCACCTGTTTTTGTGGAGGCCCTTGGCTCTCCTTACCTACAAGCACCCTGTGGGCTGGTACTCAGCTGTTCTCAGGGCTGCAGCATCTGACAGCTCTGCGCAGCTCCTCAGGGCCTAGCTGTGGTTCCCTGCGGAGGGAAAAGGCCCTCGAGGCCCAAGGCAGAGGGAAGCTGCTCCTGCGCTCAGCTCCAGATGCTCTGGTGTGAGCCCAGTGTGCCGGGGGGCAGTCCCCTCCAGAGACCTTCCCTGTCACCCGGGACTCCTTGGACTAGCAGAGGTCCTGCTGAAGGAGAGAGCTGTTTCCTTTTGAGCGCTGCCTATCTTCCAGGCTCATTTGGTGTCACATAATATTGTTTCTCCTTTGTCCTCAGAACATTCTTTACGGTGTTAAAAGCTGAGATGGTGTGGGATGGGGATTTGCCCCAGGGTCCCAAGCTCAGAAGTGGTTTAGTGGGAACAGAAACCCAGGAATTCCAGGATTTGGTCCCCTCTTCCTGCTGTGTGTCACCTTTGTTTCTCAACTCCTGGCTGTTCCTTTTACCTGCCAGGCGCTGACATGCAGAGGGCTGAGGACATTCGTCAGTTGGCCTTCCCGAATATCTCTCTGTCCTCGCCTTCCAGCACCAAGGGCATCCTGCAGTCTGGGTGGTGGACTCTTGGCCGTGAGTGGGTGGAAGTTTCCAGAAGCCAGCTCAGATACGTGGTTCTTGGGTATTAGATCATAAAGTATTTGGGCTGGGGAAAGAAACCTTAGCAATTAGCTCTGCCTTGGTATAAGCAAAACAAACAAACCCAGGCCCAAGAGGACTCTGCTGCTTTTCAAAACATACGAGTAAAGTTCTCCAAGTCTTACAAGTTATTTCTTGTAAGCTCCTTGAATCATAGCAGTCACTCAAGGTCATAAATGAGTTCACATTCTGCAGCCCAAGGAGCATTCCTGTGGCAGTTACATCTCCTGTGTGGAAAAGCCACTTGAATTATATTTGTAGCTTGATTGTCTCTGAGTGTAAAAGCACTATCATATTGAGTCATAGAGTCAGCAGTGATCCTGTATTTGGTAACTCTAGTTTGAAGAAATGCACGATTCATTGAGCAAGCATTTATCAAGCACCTTCTTGTATCAGACCCATTGTTAGGCTGTGGGGATTACAGTGTAACTAAGGCAGGGCTGAGGTCTAGAGGGGGAAGAAGATGGACGGTGACTCCATCAGGTAAGAGGCAGCAGCACAGAAGAGAGCTCCTCAGAGAAGGTGCCTCTGGGAGGGCATCAGGGGCATCTGAGGTTGAAAAGGTAGAAGGGCGCTGCAGGCCAAGGAAGTCACGCATGCTCAGCCAAGTGGCAGAGAGCAAGGAAAACCAAAATGGTGTTGGAAAATATTTTATGAAGCCTCATAAAGTCATTAGTAAAGGGAGAAAAGGTGTGATCTCTCAGCCTGTCAGGAAGCTGACAGAGTAGGAGGAGGGAAGGAAGAAAGCCCCCGTCACTGAGGCTGTGGAGAGCCTTGCTCTTTGAGGAGGGTCTTGGAGTTTCTGTGTGCGGGCCTGTGAAGCCTACAGGGGATGCGCTGCTCTGGGCCAGCAGAGCGCTGGTTGCATGCATGTGGCAGGGCCTGGGCTGAAGCCCTCAGACCCGGTGCCACTGGCTGGGCCCCGCGGGTAGTCCAGGGCTCTCACCTGCAGCCTGGGGCTGGAAACCTATTCATTCTTGCCACCTGAGTCCCAAGACAACTCTCAGAGATGTCCCTCTGCGAACAGCCACCACCACACCTTTGCCAGCCATGCTTCCTGCTCAGCGTCTCTCCCTCTGCTGCTCTGGTGCTGTCTCGGCTCCACCCAGTCTTGTTTGGGGGTGTGCTGGGGAGATGGTCGGGGGTGTGTGCATGTTCAGACCTTCCTGCTGGTGTGTAACATACCTGCCTTGCTTTCAGCAAACCCATGTTTTCTTGCTGTTGAGCAAAGTAGATTCTAGAGAATCAGGGATCCATAAGAGAAATAATAGAAGCTGTAGCTGTGTGCTGTCATCGGTCCTGATGGCCAGGCTGCATTTGCACAGTGGTTGTCCTGGACTTCCCCTGAGCACAGATGGTAGAGGGGGTGAAAAGCCAGGCAAGTGGGGTGCAGCGGTGAAGTGAAACTTCTCTGGAATGAGTTTCTCCCTTATTTTGGAGGCTTTGGATAAACTCTGCAACATGTGTTGGGTTGTGTTGGGCTGGTAACTTTGTAGAGAGGGTGTGCTGGGA